TGGTTCTTGAGTGTGGTTCTCGAGTGTGGTTCTGGCTGGTTCTTGAGTGGTTCTCGAGTGTGGTTCTGGCTGGTTCTTGAGTGGTTCTCGAGTGTGGTTCTGGCTGGTTCTTGAGTTGTTCTCGAGTGTGGTTCTGGCTGGTTCTTGAGTTGTTCTCGAGTGTGGTTCTGGCTGGTTCTCGAGTGTGGTTCTGGCTGGTTCTTAAGTGGTTCTCGAGTGTGGTTCTGGCTGGTTCTTGAGTGGTTCTTGAGTGGTTCTCGAGTGTGGTTCTGGCTGGTTCTTGAGTGGTGCTTGAGTGTGGTTCTGGCTGGTCCTTGAGTGTGGTGTTTGAGTGTGGTTCTGGCTGGTTCTCGAGTGTGGTTCTGGCTGGTTCTTGAGTGGTTCTTGAGTGTGGTGCTGGAGTGTGGTTCTGGCTGGTTCTTGAGTGGTTCTTGAGTGTGGTTCTGGCTGGTTCTTGAGTGGTTCTTGAGCGTGGTTCTGGCTGGTTCTTGAGTGTGGTTCTTGAGTGGTTCTGGCTGGTTCTTGAGTGGTTCTGGCTGGTTCTTGAGTGCGGTGCCTGAGTGCGGTTGCTGACTCTGGTTGTGATTGGGGTTCTGTTGGTTCCGACTCTAACGGCCTCCTTTGTCCCTGCAGCCATTCAAGGCTTCAATCCGCAGCATAAGATCCAGAGCTTCGAGGAGGCGCGGGGGCTGGACCTGATCAACGAGAGGATGCCCCCCCGCCGCGACAGCAAGCAGCACGAAGGCCCCCCCTCCCTCAACAACCTGCCCGCCGGCACCGGGCCCCCAGACAAGAACGGCACCAGCGCCCAGCAGGCCTAGCTCCTCTCTGGCTTCTCTTCCTCTCCTCTGTCCTTCCTCGCTTCCTTTTCCTCGGCCTCCATCCTCCCGTCAGAGCTGGGGGGAGGGGGGGCGGAGTCAGTCCGGTCTGAGTGCTTATTTATTTTCTCATGGAGTAAATATCAGAGTACGGAGACGGAACCGAGGAAATCTCGACCAGGACTGGATGCTTGCTGGCCCCAACGGCACACCTCTGGGCCGGCCGTCTGTCTTTGCTTTTTTTTTCTTTTTTTATACCATTGGGGAAGAAGTGATGCTCATTCAGATGCTGTATTTGTCTGCGACGCGCACACACACACACACACACACACACACACACACACACACACACATTCATCCATTGTTTCTATGCCAACAATAGTGTGACTGAGCTCTGTAGAGCGAGTATTGACATTTATACTGTATATGGATGTTTTAACTTCCTGCTTTTCAATGTGATGGGTTTTTGTTGTTTACTTTTTTACAGCACACAAAAAGATTAAGGGGGGGGGGGTTCCTGGAGCTCCCCCCTAATTTAAGGAGGTGGAATGATAAAGACTGAAAAAAAGCCCTGATTATTAGAGGCTTTTATTCAGACTTTTCCCTGGTTGGCGCCCTGCATGGGTTTCCACTCCTCCTCCAGTTTCTGCTAAACCGACAGAAACTTTTCCAGGAAGGTGTTCTGTATCACAATAAATTGTTCCCAATTAAACCTTTAGCTTAAAATTTCCAAACAATCCTGGAAAAACTGTTAAGTATCCAAAGATGTTTAATTGCTCATTAAAATCTAAAAGCAAAAAAGTGTAAAAATATTAGAAAACCAAAGATGGAATAAAGAGCTTTATTCCTCTCTGAGGCTGAACCATCTAAATAAAGCAGATCCTGAAGGAGCGATCGGTCCAGCAGTGACGACTTTAATGAAACCTGCTGGTCCTCCAGCTCAGAGCTTTAATTGGCAAAACAAAACAGTTTACCAATGAATTGACTTGAGAAGCAGGGTTTAGTCCAGACTTGGCAGTTGGACGGGCCTCAGAACATCTCACAGGTTGTGGGTTTGTTTTTCTTTACAGATACATTTTCATGCTCTTTTTTTTTCTTTCTTGTTTTGTTGTTTATGTTCTGCAAGGCCTCTCATTCATGTAGACGTTTCACTCCATTCAATAAAAAAAAAAAAAACAGAAAAACTCCTCCTGCTATGAGTGTGTCAATCCTTTCCCACCTTGGTGTCATTTAGCAACACAGCATCTCTGCCTCACAAAGGTCAAGGGGGTGGGGGACCGAATCTGAAACCATGGCAACCACATATATCTGTGTTCAGAGACCAAATGAAAGGCCTGAACCATGAATCAGAATTACCCACAGATCTGTATTTATTCACTGGATTGCTGATAGCTAAAAAAAGTGAGTAAAAATGCCTCCCAGTGTAGAATTTGGCTGCAAAAACCAGCAGTTTTCTGTCCACAGGAAGACATTCCACAGGTAATTTCCCAGGCCCCGTCCACACGAAGTCAAAACGAACA